TACAATCTTGTGAAATTTCAGTTGTACGTTAATGTTTGTCATTCGTGTTGTAGGTGCACCACTTCACCCTTTGTGCTCACCCCCCACCACACCTTTCCCCTGGTATCCACTAAACTCTTCTTAGTCCACATTTAGTAATGTCTCAGTTTTAAAATAGTAGAATTATATGTGGGAATTTCCACCTCAAATTCCTTTGAAGTTAAGGTTTATAAAAGTACCAGCTGTCTTAGTTTCTACCTGTTCTCTTTAACGTCATGTTTTTAAATAATTCTAATCATCTGTGCATATTTTTTGTTTTTTCCTGTTTAACATTTTACATAGCATTTTAACTTTTTAAATATTTTCATATATATTACTACCTGTTATGTTTATCATTTTAAAAAGTGGATGCCATTTTTTAAAATGAATGTCTTTATATTAGATTGTTGTATAACTTAATTTTCTTTTTTTAAAAATAACTTTATTTTAGAATAACTTTAGATTTCTGTAACCGTGGTACATTTGTGAAACCAACATTAGTATGTTACTGTTAACTAAACTGGAGACTGTATTTGGATTTTCCCAGTTTTTCCACTAATGTCCTTTTTCTGTTTCAGGATCCAGTCCAGGACATCACATCGCATTTAGTTGTACCCTTAGTCTCTTCTGATCTGTGACAGTCTTTCCTTGTTTTCATGACCTCGATAGTTTTGAGCAGTATTGGTCAGGTATTTTGTAGAAATGTCCTTCAGTTTGGGTTGATCTGATGTTTTCGTGCGATTAGACTGAGGTTGTGGGTTATGAGGTTTTGGTGAAGAATACCACAGAGGTGGGATGCCCCTCTCATCACATCACATCAGGCATACACGACAGCAGTGGCTTATCAGTGATGTTTTAACCATGATCACTTGGCAAAGATGGCGTCTTCCGGATTTCTCTGTTTCCCTTTCCAGACTCTGCTTTGGGAGCGACTCTGAGTGTAGCCCACGGTCACAGGGAAGCGCATTGAGCTCTACCTCTCAGGGCAGGGAAGGATGCATATATATTATTTGGAATTTCCTGTAAGGAAGACTTGTCTCTTCTTCCCCATTTACTTATTTGTGTAATCATTTATATCATAGACTCATGGATACTTACTTTATTAATTTGGTTATAATATAATAGTATTGTGATTTATCTTGCTGCTCAAATTATTCCAGCTTTGGCCATTGGGAGGTTCTTCCGTTTAGTTCTTGTCTTTGTCATGTCCCCGTCCTTTCATCTTGTGAGCATTCCCTTACTTTCTCCTGCAGATTTTCTTGTATTCTCCCTGTCCCAGCCCTAGAACCAGCCATTTCTCCAGAGCCCTGCTTCCTTGTACTGAGAATGGTATTTAGAAAAAGAAGATAAGGGTGCTGGGTGTTGTACTACTGGAATGTCACTGCTTCTAGGCTGTCTGTGGACGGAGCTGGGAAATAAGTGTACATCTGCTAACTCGTGTGATGCGTATCTCTATTTCTGGATCTGCATATATAGTAAATATGAGTTCACACTGACATTGACATCTCTGATTCCAGTCCATCACCACCCCTTGCTTGTTTGTAACTAGTACCCTGGGAGAAGATTTACCAGTTAGAGTACAGGGTTTATGTATGGTTCTTACTGTCTTTCCTCTGTCGGGTCAAAACAGATTTCCACAGTTGCATAGGTCAGCTCCATTTCCCCCACCCTTTTCCATGGAGTTATCCCATAAAGTTTTAATACAGTTAGAATCATTGTATGGTCTACATTCCTTCCTGAGATCCCTGGACATGCTGTTTTGTTTTTACTTGCATATAGTCTGTCATTTTGAAAAATGACCGTTTTCACATTGGGTTGTGGTCTAACTTAACTTTTTTATATGAATGTTGTAATTCCTGATCTCACTCACTCAGCCACTGTGGTTGATGGCCGATACTTGGGTGGTGCCTGCTGTCTGTCAGGCACTGTCCTGTGCACCTCACATGAGTTTACTTCTCATCATGACTCTGTGAGGTAGCGACTCTTGAGTTAGCCTCTTTTTCATGAGGAGAGGCACAAAGATGTGTAGTCACTTGGCCGGGTTCACACACAGCTGGTCTGTGGGAGACCTGGAATCGGAACCCAGGTAGGCTGGCTTTGGAGTCTGCAGTCTTGCCTTTTGTTTAAGGCCCCGGACAGGACTTAGAATTTAATAGGACCAAATGCTGTCTTGTTCGTTTATTGTTCAAACTTAGTTTAGAATGGAGAGTGCTGCTTCCCACATTCTTTGCCCCATACCCCTACGGGCATTATTAATCACGATGGCACTCGTTCCTGCCGACTTGGAACGTGGCCTGGCCTCGGAATCCTTACAACACTCAGCGTGGTTTCGTGAGATGGAGTCGCCTGTCTTCTTTGGGTCTTCCGCGCAGTGTGCAGTGCAGTGGCTGTGCGCCTGCTTCTCGGATTCCTTGTGCGTGGTCTTCCTGTTCCCAGGGCAGGCAGTGGCTGTCTTTCCCCTCAGGCGTAAGATCTACTGCTCTTAGGTAATTAATTTTTATCTCCTACCAAGAGCTACATCTATGTGTCTGTCTAGGTTCTCTTTGTATTGTTCTCATCTTTACCTACAAAATCTTATTTACCATTAATTTCCTTTTGAGTTCATTAAAGCAATGGATTTTAACTTAAAAAATAAAGGAAATTGTTAAATGAGACTAACAGCTGCCCTCTAAGCATTTTGAACATAAAAGCACTGTTGAAGACTGGTGATTTTTCAAAATAGGCAATTTTACAGCAGTCATGCTGTGAAGTAAAAAGACATTTTCGTTAGGAAAAGACATCAAGAATATTGCAATTGTATTACTTAAGTTTTGTTGGGTTTGGATTTGACCTTATTCTGGCGTTCAGTTAAGAGTAAAGTTAATGCTGTTGACTTAGGTAGGAAGGATAAGTGGTACATGTTGTTTCCTACTTAGTTTTTTTCAGACAAGTAGAAACAGACCTGAGCGAGGCCAAATGGGTGGCTAGTGCCTTAATTAGCAAGTCCTTTAGGAGTGAAGAACCTTTAAAGAAAGGTGTCAAGGGCACTGAAAATGCCTAGGGAACTTTTCTTTTAAATTCTTTGGTCATTGGCAACTAAGTAAGGAGGGGCAGGAACGTTGTCTTGGGTAAAGGTCCTTCACGAGTGGACCAGGGTTGGCTCTGATAGAGAAGAAAGCTGGCTCTTTGGGCTGCATGGCCGGGTCACCGAAGCGGTAGAGGGGTGTCTTGGCCACGTTGCCAGGGCTGTGTAAACCTGAGAGGGGGGGCGAAGCTCCTTTGCTGGTGGGACCCAGAGCCGCACTGTGTCACCGCTTCTTCTGATGATGCCGATGCCGACGAGGAAATAGGTCGTGAGAACCCATCTTATGTTCATTCAGGCATTATTGTCCACCGAATCTCAACACCGATAATGTGTCTTAGACCCCTTCCGTATTTCATGTGGCAGAAAACCTAATCCAAACTGGTTTAAGCAAAAAAGGGAATTTCTTGACTCACCTAACTGAACAGGTCCAGAGTTGGTTTGGCAAAGTGTGCCTGGTTCAGGGCTCAGTGATAGGACTAGAGACCATTTCTTTTCTTTGGGTGTTTTTTCTTTTTCTGTTGTTCTATGCAGGCTCTTCTCAGGTGTTTGCAAGTTGGCTTCTAGCAATTCTAGCAACTCTTTGGGTATGTATTTCCAGGTTCAAATCTCAGTGAGCGTTCTTGTTCTCACATTGCAGGCAACCTCCTGAGATTTTTCCCTGTGATAGGACAGAGTCTGGTCAGGTAGCCAACCGTGTGCTGGGGGCTGTCCGCAGGAGCAGTGGGCCTCGGCCAGGCCAGGACTGCAGGCTTCCTCCCTTGTAGGGTAGTCCTCAGAGAGGGGTTGCTGGGAAGTTCCCAGAGAAATGAATTGATGCAGGGTGGCGGAAATGACCCTGACTGTTCTAGTGGGATGCAGCTAGATTACAAGGGCATGGTGTTCAGGACGTTTGAGTTTGGTTTGATTTATAAAATAGACTCTAGCCTATGTAATTTCCTTAATTCCATTTAACCTATATATGTATGTAAGTCTATAAGGCTTTACTATATTGTAATAAGGTTTTGATGGTACCCTGCCATAATCTGGTTTGTCTTTTGAATTAAAGCATAACTGTTGTTTTGGTTTCACTGTATACAGGTAGAATCTTGTTTTAATGACTTGAGCTATAATCTGTTTTGAATAAAAGAAGCTGTTTTCATATTCTGGATAAAAACCATACTAGCACCATTTCACCTATGAAACTAAACAAATCTTTTGAATGAGAAATTTAAAAATTGGATGTATTCACAAATCACCATCCATTTAGTGGCAAGTCATTTTAATAAAGGTTTCTTTCTGCTAATATATGAATGTTCAGAGCTGTATCTTAATACTTACTGGGCTGTGGTTTAGTGGAAAATGGCATCGGAAGATCTGATGTGAGTCTGCCTTCGTGGTGGGAAGGAGCAGGAGGGCAACTGACATTTGAAGGCTCTCTACATGCCAGGCGGAGAGCTAGGTGTTCTGTGTGTGTATGCTGTTTGTAGCAGTGTTGAGGTCGGTGATGTTACCCCCTTCTTTGGATAAGGTCTTTAAGGCAATATGAACGTCTTTAATAAAAAGGAATTCCAGGAACTCCAAGTTTTATACTCAGGATCTTTTAATTGGAAGGGCAGCTGGATCATAGGGTCCTAATTGTCCCGGAGACTCATCTCTCATCTCCTCTTGGTGGTTTCTTGGTAATGGGGAGCATCACCCTCATTTTCTGTGCTTAGGCATGGCAGGCACCTTTCCTTTTCATACCTTGCGGCACAGCTAGACTTTATAGACTTGTTTTTTTTTTCCTTAAGGAAGACTGGCCTTGATCTAACCTCTGTGTCCATCTTCCTCTATTGTATATGTGGGACACGTGCCCGCAGCATGGCTTGATAAGTGCCTCTGATCCAAACTGGTGAACCCTGGGCCGCCAAAGTGGAGAGCGCAAACTTAACCACTAAGCGACTGGCCATGCCCCCATTTTTTTGTTTTTAAATCTGTTGTTTGCCAGGCACACAGCCAGGCTTTGGGATTTTACAAATAAATAAAAATGGTTCTTGCTTCTGAAGAACTTACAGTAGGGGTGAAGTGGAGTGAAAACACGAAAATGTGATTTTAATGTGTTGTAAATGCTATGAAAGGGGGAGGGAGTTTGTTTTATGTAAAACATTCTTCTAAATGGTGCCTTAAGTTTTATTATTTTTTTATGGATCTGGATGTTTATCCCTATACTTTGAAAGAACAGTCTGGACACTTAGATTTATTTCTTAAATCATAATTCAGAGGTCTTGATCCTTATATTTTGATAATTTTCCTTAAATGAATTACTCTAATTTTTCTCATTTCCTCTCTGTTGTGTGTGTTTACTAGATCATCCTATAGCTTAAAACCTTCACGTATGTGCTGCTTTATTTGGAAGAGCTTTGTGAGATTTATAAACGTGGAAATTTATCCGTATATACCCTTTTACAGAGAGGTTGGTTCCAGAGCCAATTTTGAAATGTTCTGTTGTTGATCTTGCACCTTGTTTAGTTCAGTAATGCTTTGGCCAGAGATGTTTTGTCATGACATACTTTTCGTTGTTACTGATGGTGGAAACATCATCCAAGGTATTCCAGAGTGTGAGGCCAGGAGGGTTCTGCACAAACATGACATGCTGACTAATGTTGTGACACTTCTTCACCAAGACATAAAACGCGCACTTACAAAAAAGTGCGTTGTCGTAATACCCACATTGCACATCAGTGAGAACTAAATGCCACATTCCTATTGTCGGTTTATCAGGGACGGGGTGCTGCCTCCAAGGACCAAGAATGTGTCAAGGCAGCAGGTGGGACTAGTTGTGATTAGTTTAGGAGCTAAGAAGCCACAGATATCCCTTTTTATCTGATCCTTTTCCTTCTAGTTCCTAGGCCTTTGAAATGCTAAATGTCTGAAAATAATTTGCATAGAATTACTTGAGCTTCTCTGTCAACTGGCGGATATGAAAGCAGTTGCCACAAAGTTATATTTGAAATAAAGCTCCGATTTCTGCCTAACTTTGGTGTCTTTTTGCCCTACCTCACTTTCTTCCTTTCTTCTTCCTCGCTTTCTGCTTTATCTCAGGGATGGGGTCGTCTTTTTGAGTTTAGTCTTCTTGGTCCTAAAGACTCCTCTTCAACCCACAGGCAAGGTCGCACTTTTAATCTTCCCATGAGAAGTAGTCCTCCGTGATCTCTTTCAACTGCCTTGATCCTAAGTTCTGAAATCTCTTCATTCTCCGCCTTCCCTCAGTCTTTGTAATTTGGGGTCATTACCTGATTTGGTGCCCACCTTTGTTAGCGTGGTCTACTGGCCAGACTTCTGCCTTTACAGCCCATATCCAGCTGTTTCTTGCTCATACCTTAGAGTCTCTTCCATTCTTTCTTGGCCTTTGGAAATCCAACTCAATCAACTGTTAAGGTTGAGTTGTCACCTTTCCTGCCATCCTTCTGCAGTTCTTATGTTCTCCCTCCCTAGTACTTTGCATATACATCTCATTGTAATGTAGCTTCTTCTTTTCCACCTTCTTAGGTAAGACATAAGTTCCATAAGGGCAGGTTCTGCGTTTCATTCATCCTTGTGTATTCATTGCCTGGTTCATAATAGTCATTTATTTCATGCTTTCTTTGCCCCTCTTTCAGCTCTGAATCATCCACCCTCTGCTTTCTTTATCATTGTTGGGTGGTTCAATGTTCTTACAGAAAGTTACCCACTGACCTCTGGGCTCTTTTTCTTCCTCTAAATCTTATCTCTTTAAGCAGTTTTCTCAATGTCTGGGGGTTTTATGTAAACAGGTAAATGAAGCCCTACTCAGGGCTTCAAGCCAGAAAGTCATCTTCCCCCGTATTTAAATCACCACTAAGTTTTCTCCTAGGTAACTCTTGAATTCATTTACTTTTTCTCTCATCACCAGCATGGTCATAGAAGCCCCGCCATCTCTTGCCTAGAGTCTCTACTGCAGTCCAGTCTCACCTGTCCTCACCTGTGCACTTTCTCTTGTCCCCTCCCCTGCACCTGTGCTGCAGTTGGCTGGTCTTTCTGAAATGTGTCTCCCTGCACCCCTTTTACTTAAAATGCTCAGTGGCTTTCCATTGCTCTTAGATAAATTAAAGCAAAAATCCTTAACATGGCACTCGTACACCATCTGACGGGGAAATGTTGTTCTAATCTTTTCAGGGTACAAGTATGATTTTAATACTTAGACAAGAAAATGTTCTAGAAAAGGACACTTGTTTAGACTTGAAGTGGGCACTCTAGTATGAATTCGACATCTGGTGAACTCTAGTCTTTCCCCACATTTGAGCATAATTGGTTCCTAGAGCCTGCAGCCAAAGATAAGGCTCAGGGATTTACTTTGCATGTGCTGCACTCCTTTTTTCTCTTGCTTACCAGAGAACCTCTCATGTGAATAAAGTAGCTCAAGAGACAAAAATACAGACTTTATCACAGTGTTTAAAATCACGGTGTTTAAGGTGAGAAGCACAGTTAAAAGTGTGTAGTGGGAATACTTTAATTTGTACGTGTATATTATACTATATATTTTTTACTTTTAGTGCTGAATGTAAGTTTTTCTTTTTTTGGATTTATCTTTTTCAGTTAGTCATTTATGCCTGTAATAGCTGACTTGATGAAAAACTTGAGTATGTTTCTACGTTTTTTTCACTCCACAAGTATGTATCATAGACTAAAAACTACCTTGTTATCGTATACTTAATTCCTGCAGTGGGATCACATTTCTGTAAGACGGCTGCTGTTTAGGAGTGGAGAATCTTTGTAAATAAAAATATCTTTTAAAAGTTGTGTTAAATAAAAATGTACACTTGGATGAAATGCTTCAAGGATTTAACCATACAGAACAAATGAGCACCCGGTTTCTGCAAATCTCAACAGTATAACGATGTATTATTTCTTTTGTTAATTGTTAGTTTGCTGGGGATTAAAACACAAGTGATCATATTAAGGCTGGTTAGATTAGTGATTTTAATATGAAACCATTGCTTTTAGAATAATCATGGGCCAGACTGGGAAGAAATCTGAGAAGGGACCAGTTTGTTGGCGGAAGCGTGTAAAATCAGAGTACATGCGACTGCGGCAGCTCAAGAGGTTCAGGCGAGCTGACGAAGTAAAGGTATAACTTCATCTTTTGTGAAAATGCATATACAATGAAGGATAGTTTTCCCCCCGAAGATAAGTTTTAGTTGGAAAGGGTATATTTTCAGCCAAGGTCATATTTACAGTAAGATAAATGAAGACTTGGAAGTTAAGATTCTTGAATCTGTCTTAATTAACATAAAAATTGTACCATATGATAATGGAAGGATTTTAATCTAATGCTTATTCAACCTGCTTGGAAGTTACTATCTTTTTATAGTAAAGGTACCTTTGTATTGCATGTGTAGACTTAGGACCCAAATATAAAGGCATGTGTTTCATGGTTTTATGTTTTGAAAGTCATTGTGATTTTTTTTTTATTTATACGAAGTTAACAAAGAAAGGATGGAAATAATTTCCTGTTCCCCTCCTACTCTCAATAAAATAATAGGTGTGGTGTTTTTGTATTATTTGAATGTGGGAAACTACAGCTTAGTGTAAAATCTATATGTAGTTGAGAGAATGTTCTTGATATTTTTGAGAAATTACTAGATTTTAATCTGCTGTAGAGATATTACAAATTTTCTAACAATGGACAATTTCTTTTCTCCTCTCCTTCATTTTTTTAAAGAGTATGTTTAGTTCCAATCGTCAGAAAATTTTGGAAAGAACGGAAATCTTAAACCAAGAATGGAAACAGCGAAGGATACAGCCTGTGCACATCCTGACTTCTGTGAGCTCATTGCGCGGGACCAGGGAGGTTGGTTAACTCACGCGCTGTCGTAATTATCAGTGCATTCTGGTTTTCACTGTTGGAATGTTGGTTGGTTATTGAGCAAACGTCATTGACCTCAGAATGTCTGTTTTTATTGCTGTTTCTTTTTAATGTGCAGCTGTTCATGACTGCATTAGGTAACACTACTAGCTGTTCCTATAACCGAGCTCTAGTGTTTAGAATGTACTTTCGCTGTTAGTAGGTAGATTTGTAGATTTTTATAAGACTGTTGATTAAAAGAAACTTTTAAATTAAATACTCTTTAATGTCCTCATCAGATCACTATTTAGAACAAGGCTTTCTGACTCACACTTGTCTTTTTTTCTCTCCTTTAATATGAATTAGCCATGCTGTAAGAAATGTTTCCTTTTCATTCATTTTCATGGAATAAAAAAGTTTCTTATACATTTTGTTCAAATTCTAAGGCTCTCTATAAGAATTTTTAAATTTGGTGTTGAGAGATTGTAATTTCCTTTTCTATAGCATTTTCTGAATGAATGACAGATTTTAATCACTTTAATAAATCCTATTTTCAAAGGAAGGCTGTAAGTCTATGGTAGATTTTATAATTAAATAATGCAGTGGCAGCAAGATGAAAAGAATATGGCAGAAGCTTAACCAGTATAGAACCAGTCAGGGTTTTGGTTAGATCATTCCTTGTCTAAGTACCTGTTTTGTAAAGGAAGACATGGCATAGGATCATGCTATTTGAGTGGGCGCTGAAGCAGAAAGAGGGAAGAAAGTGTTTTGGGATTTAGATTACACCATGTAGTAGATGATTGTTTATCTGAGTATCTGAACATGGGAAGCATCTAAACAATGGAATTTGTTCTAAAATAATGTTTTCAGTGAGTAGCCATTTTTTATATACTATTGTAATAATCAAGCAATAATTTGCTATTGTATGAGATCTTGCTGTTACCAAGATTGTGTGACACACTAGCTTCAAACATGTCAGAACTATCATAGGATCTCAGTCTGTGCTACAGACATGATCCTAGTGATGATTTCAGTGCTGGTACTGGTGGTCTTGATGGTGACACATGACTTGGAATGATTCTTAGTCATTTATGCATTTTGTCAGGTGACAACTCTTTAAGGCTCTGACTTTCAGTTGTGTAAATATGTATTATATGCTATGAACACCTTCTGCATCCTCTGGGACAGGTCAGTGCCTACATATTAGAGGTAAATGATTTCTTATTAATATGCTAAGGGGGAAAGGGATTCTTTTCTATGCCAGTCAGCATGTTCTCAAAAGGGATAAGGATGGAGTTTCTAAGTCATTCTTTTGAAAGTTTTGTCTGGTGACCTTTTGGAAATTTTGAGGTGAAGGCAAAAGAAACCTTGTTATTTCTGCCTGGAGGAATAAAGATTAGAAATTTGGAGAAATAAAGTAGAAACACATGGAATACTTATTTTTGCCATCGATTACAAATCTAAAAATGCTACCGAAAGCCCAACTTGCGTTTATAATAAAAGTTAACAGCAATGATGATTCTGGCGCTGTGCTACGTCCTCTGCACGTTACCTGTTTAATCTTTGTGATGGTTGTATTTCGCCTTTTCTCCCCCAAACAAGGAAACTAAGCCTTAGAAGAGTTAAGTCAGTTTGCTTGCTCTAACGATCTGATGTGGACCCAGAAGAGTATACTTTGCTTGGACACACTAAGAAATTAGTAAAGTTCATTATTTATGTACAACTTGAATTGCTCTTAATATAATTTTTGGTGTTAAAGAGTATAGTTTATTCAAATTAATATTTACTAATTGAATTTTGCTTTTAATTTTGTCAAATGGAGATAAAAGTCATTGAATGTAAAGATAGCTAACTTTTTGTTGTGAGTTTATGTGAAAAATTGTAAGAAGGCTTTAGCACTTTAAATAAAACAAAATTGTTTTCTAAACTTAGTACCTCCCACAGGTTGAGAAAAACCATTTTCACAAAATAGAAGGGCAAAGGAGGAAAGTAATCGCAGCCTCAGGAATTGAGTTTTGTTGTGTGGAGCTCTGACCCTGTCAAGCGCCTTCCTTTCGGAGCTACTCTGGACGATAGCAGATTCTGCTTCCAGTGATCCCTCTTTACCCCCCACCCCCAACCCCCTTTAAAACCATCATCACTGACCTTTGGAAGCTGAAGGTTTATACAGTTTGTGATAAGCTTTTTGGTGTTATCACAATAAGTAATAAAATTTTAGGGCTGGAAAGGACTTCAATGATCTCTGTCTGAACTCCTTACTTTTCAGCTATATCTCTGTTTATTTTTTCTTCAGTTTGAGCATTTCCAGCTATATATCCATTTCTTTTATATGCTTTAAAAGTTGGAGTCGGAAGTAGGTCAGAAGCAGGAGGATAAATAAAACGTTAGCCTGATTTTCAAAGACTTTCCTAGTAGTAGACTTGGTAGAATTTTGGATTGCAGTGTTGATCCAAACACCTAAAGTCTATGACTTTCAACATTTGGAAGTGCTGTGTTATAATGTTGTTTTAACTAACTGCTTATTTTTATAAGCGGATCCTTTTATAAGTGCTGTCTTCAGTTTAAATCCTTTGCTGCATGGTATCAATTCAATGAGTTGTCAGTTTTCACTCAAGTCTTCATACTTTATTCCCTTCTATACTTGCAGAAGTAGATCCACCTAGTTTTAAAATGATTGATTTTTATCTAAGTTATTTTAGATATTTATTATGAAGAATGTCTGACAAGTTTACTTTCTGATCTAATGAAGGGACATTTATAGATGCTGACTTCAGATCAAGGAGCCCTGCAGTGGAACATGGAGGCCACATCTTTAGTATATTGTTTTCTTAGTGCGTGTTCTTAAGATACTTTTGGGTACTTGTTTTTTGGTGTTGAGGTTACAGAACCTAAACAGTGTTGCCCATAGAATTTTTATACGGAACGTGTCTATTTTTTCTTCTTAAAAATACTTAACGACTTCTTGAAGACAGTGATTATAATATCTTTCACATTTATTTCCTTTGCTCTTCAGTTAATCTTTTTAAGGAGCATTCTGCTTAAAAATGTCATTAAGTGATACAGGCCAAGGGATGTACACCTTATTGTCATAGAATGTGGCTGTTTTTCAAAAAATGTTTCTAGGTGACTTTCATTACTTTGTCTTATCAATCAGTAAAAACCTTTATCTTCTGTAAGTCTGCACATTGGTAGTCATATTCTTCAATGTGTGTTTTTCCAGTTTTAATAAAGAAATTGGTTTAGGAGTTACTTTTGTAGCTCTTATTAGTGCATTTCTTTTCGTACGTTTGTCCATTTCTTGCTAAAAACCACAAGGCATTTTCTCCTTCATTGATTCTTCATGTCAAGATTTTTATTACCTGTATGTATTATGACTGAAAGAGAGGCGTGCTCAAATGATGTCTGTCTTCTGGACAAGTGGTATGATTGGTTTAGTAATTTACAAATATCCTGCCAATATGCATTTTTAGATTCCCAGGAGAATATAATCATGTAAGAATTCTGTCTTATTTACTAATGACAAGAGTATTTTTTATGTATATTTAAACATGGGACTTTTTTCAGAATGTTTTAACATACAAGCAGCATCAGAAAGACCACCTAGTCCTCATGTTCATGAAGAATTAAAAATCTTTTGGACCTTTCAGTACATACAGGTTTGTTCTTTCTAGTGATTATCTGAAATGATTTTAAGTCCATCACCTATCATTACTTGCAAATGAATGTTTTTTGGAGAGGCTTCTGTCAGAATAACAGAATGTGCCAGTTCTTTCATATGTTTGAAATTTGGACTTACTATTTTTGTTGAAGGAGAGGAAAATTCTTGTTTACATGCAAACGCTTGATTGTATTATTTATTGATTTGGTAATACGCTTTCCTCAGTTAATTGTAAGTAGAAATTTAGTTACTATTTACAAAGAAAAAATAATATGCTAGTGTACGCAATGTATAATTTAGTGCTCTTAAATACACTCAACTTTCAACACAGTAACGTACTTTCTTTGCTTTGTGAGTTTTAAGATTACAGGATCAATAGGTCTAGAGTCTCATGGGCTATTTGAGGAGACATGGCAGGGAGCTAGGTCATTCTTCTCGGAGCGGAGAAATAAATGGATGGTTCTCCCAAGTGTCTGTTCTGGCTCTCAGTCTCAACATATCCATCGTTTCTTGGTTCCTCAAGGGACTGGTTCCCAAGTTGTTTTCTGCTCTTTTCTTCTCTTAACCATTTGTTGGTGTTTACTTGGAGACTTGAGTCTTTTGTTAACTCTACCAGTCCTTCCAACCATCTAACTTTTCAAATCACTGAGCCTTTTCTTCCTTTCTGGCTTTGTTTCAGCTGAAATAGATGGAACATTTCTTAAATGAGCTTAAAGGAGTCGTTCCTTTTCTTTTGAAAGGAAACGAATATAAGCATTTTATGTCTTTCCAAAAGGTCATTAAAAAAAGAAAAGTCGCTTAGGATGTTTAAGTTTATATTTTAAATTTAAGATCATGTGTCTTAAGTTTAAAAAGTGAACTTTTCCAAAATGTCAAATGTTTATTTTGTGCAACTAATAAACCAAGAGAAGATACGTTTAGTTTGTAGTTTTTCTCCTAGAATACCATCTATAGTTTGTGTTTTAAAAATTACTGTTCAGTTGATCAAGGCTCTTCCCAAAATGCAAAACCAAATTTTGACAGCTATTTTGAAAACGAAGTGAATGAAACAAAACCAAAAGAAATGTTTGTCTGGTCTGCAGTGTTAAAAATTGTTGCTCTGAAGAAAAAAGAAAATTTTGTTAGATCTAGAACTTCTGTCCCATTTTAGCTGGATTATGTGGATTGACTTAAATTCACTGCTTAGGATTCTCTCCTCTTCCTGGTAGAGTTTATGGGAGAACATTTCTCTGGTCCATTTTGCGAGGGTTGGGCAGGTTTCGTTGAGCCTGCCTTAGCCACTGACGAGGCAGTTTATACCAGCTACTGCGGATACCTGTCA